AATTCCCAATTTTCCAGAGCCAAGTCCAGGATTTCCAGTGGTAATTCCCAATTTTCCAGGGGAATTCCCCAATTTTCCAGACCCAATTCCCCCTTTTCCAGAGCCAATTCCCAATTTTCCAGAGCCAAGTCCAGGATTTCCAGTGGTAATTCCCAATTTTCCAGGGGAATTCCCCAATTTTCCAGACCCAATTCCCCCTTTTCCAGAGCCAATTCCCAATTTTCCAGAGCCAATTCCCAAGTTTCCAGACCCAATTCCCAGATTTCAAGGGCCAATTCCCAATTTTCCAAGGTAATTCCCCAGTTTTCCAATGGTAATTCCCAATTTTCCAGAGACAATTCCCAGATTTCCAGGGCAATTCCCACTTTTCCAGGGGTAATTCCCAAATTTCCAGGTGTAATTAATGATTTTCCAGACCCAATTCCCAATTTTCCAGACCCAATTCCCACTTTTCCAGACCCAATTCCCACTTTTCCAGAGCCAATTCCCAACTTTCCAGAGCCATTTCCCAATTTTCCAGAGCCATTTCCCAATTTTCCAGACCAGCTTCCCAATTTTCCAGAGCCAATTCCCAATTTTCCAGGGGAATTCCCACTTTTCGGAGGGGAATTCCCAATTTTCTGGGTGTAATTGATAATTTTCCAGAGCTAATTCCCACTTTTCCAGACCCAATTCCCAGATTTTCTGGGGGGAATTCCCAATTTTCTGGGTGTAATTCATAATTTTCCAGACCCAATTCCCACTTTCCCAGACCAAATTCATCATTTTCCAGACCCAATTCCCAATTTTCCGGGGGAATTCCCAATTTTCTCGGTGTAACTCATAATTTTCCAGACCCAATTCCCAATTTTCCAGACCCAATTTCCACTTTTCCAGAGACAATTCCCAAATTTCCAGACCCAATTCCCACTTTTCCAGACCCAAGTCCCACTTTTCCAGGTGTCATTCATAATTTTCCAGACCCAATTCCCACTTTTCCAGACCCAATTCCCAATTTTCCAGACCCAATTCCCAATTTTCAGGGGTAATTCCCCACTTTTCCAGGGGTAATTCCCACTTTTCCAGACCAAATTCCCACTTTTCCAGACCGAATTCCCAGATTTCCAGTGGTAATTCCCAATTTTCCAGACCCAATTCCCAATTTTCCAGAGACAATTCCCAAATTTCCAGAGCCAATTCCCAGATTTCCAGGGCAATTCCCACTTTTCTGGGGGGAATTCCCAATTTTCTGGGTGTAATTCCTAATTTTCCAGAGCCAATTCCCAATTTTCCAGGGCTAAGTCCCAATTTTCTAGACCCAATTCCCAGATTTTCAGGGGTAATTCCCAATTTTTCAGGGTAATTCCTGTTTTCCAGGGGAAATTCCCAAATTTCCAGACCCAATTCCCAATTTTCCAGACCAAATTCCCAATTTTCCAGAGCCAATTCCCACTTTTCCAGACCCAATTTCCACTTTTCCAGGGCGATTCCCAAATTTCCAGAGCCAAGTCCCACTTTTCCAGTGGTAATTCCCAATTTTCCAGGATAATTCCCACTCTTTGGGGGGCAATTCCCAAATTTCCAGGGCCAATTCCCAATTTTCTAGGGGAATTCCCCAGTTTTCCAGTGGTAATTCCCAATTTTCCAGAGCCAATTCCCAATTTTCCAGACCCAATTCCCAAATTTTCAGTGGTAATTCCCAATTTTCCAGGGCAATTTCCACTTTTCCAGTGGTAATTCCTGATTTTCCAGAGCCAATTCCCAGATTTCCAGGGGCAATTCCCAAATTTCCAGACCCAATTCCCAGATTTTCATGGGTAATTCCTGACTTTGTGGGGTAATTCCCAATTTTCCAGAACCAATTCCAGCTTTTCCAGGGGCAATTCCCAATTTTCCACGATAATTCCCAAATTTCCAGTGGTAATTCCCAAATTTCTGGGGCTAATTCCTGAATTTTGAGGAAAATTCCCGACTTTCCAGAGCCAATTCCCAAATTTCCAGAGCCAATTCCCAAATTTCCAGGGGTAATTCCCAAATTTCCAGGGGTAATTCCCAAATTTCCAGGGGTAATTCCCAGTTTTTTCCTCTTCCCAGAGCTCTTCCTCCACAGTTCTTTTCCCAATTTTTCCCAAGTTTTTCCCAATTTTATCCCCATTTTTCCCAATTTTTCCCAGTTTTCCCCCCCAGTTCTCCCCATTTTTTTCCAAATTTTTCCCACTTTTCCCCAGTTCTTCCCAGTTTTTCCTGATTTTTCCCATTTTTGCCCCCTGGCTTTTCCCAATTTTCCCAGTTTTTCCCATTTTTTCCCCCCATTTTTCCCAATTTTCCCAGTTTTTCCCATTTTTCCCCCGTTTTTTCCCAATTTTTCTCTGTTTTTCCCATTTTTTTCCCCCTCATTCTTCTGAGTTTTTCCCTTTTTTTCCTCCTTGGTTTTTCCCAATTTTTCCCCCTCGTTTTTCCCAGTTTTTCCCAGTTTTTCCCATTTTTTTCCCCTTGGTTTTTCCCAATTTTTCCCTTTTTTTTCCCCCTGGTTTTCCCAATTTTTCCCAGTTTTTCCCATTTTTTTCCCCGCTGGTTTTTCCCAATTTTTCCCAGTTTTTTCCCCCATTTTTTCCCCATTTTCCCCCATTTTTCCCATTTTTTTCCCCCCATTTTTTCCCAATTTTCCCAGTTTTTCCCATTTTTTCCCCTTGATTTTTCCCATTTTTCCCCCCCTGGTTTTTCCCAATTTTTCCCATTTTTTTCCCCTTGGTTTTTCCCAATTTTTCCCATTTTTCCCCTCTGGTTTTTCCCAATTTTTCCCAGCTTTTCCTATTTTTTCCCCCTTGTTTTTTCCCCCCCATTTTTTCCCCCCTGGTTTTTCCCATTTTTTCCCCCCTGGTTTTTCCCAATTTTTCCCAGTTTTTCCCAGTTTTCCCCCCAATTTTCCCAGTTTTTTCCAAATTTTCCCATTTTTTCCTGGTCTTTCCCAATTCTCCCAGTTTTTCTCCTCTTTTTCCCCTTGATTTTTCCCAATTTTTCCCATTTTTTCCCCTGGTTTTTCCCAGTTTTTCCCCCTCGTTTTTCCCAATTTTTTCCCAGTTTTTCCCATTTTTCCCCCCCTGTTTTTTCCCAATTTTCCCCAGCTTTTCCCCCCATTTTTTCCCAATTTTCCCAATTTTTCCCATTTTTTTCCCCTTGATTTTTCCCATTTTTTCCCCCTGTTTTTTCCCAATTTTTCCCTTTTTTTCCCATTTTTCCCCCTGGTTTTCCCAATTTTTCCCAGTTTTTCCCCCAATTTTTCCCAGCTTCCCTGACTTTTCCCTCTTTTCTCTCGGCAGCTGATCCAGTTCCTGATCTCCCTGGTGCAATCCAACCGGATCCTGGGCGTCAAGAGGAAAATGTGAGAGGAATTCCCAAAATCCCACCAAAAATTTGGGATCGGAACCCCCCGGGGGGGACCCCAAATCCCAAAAATCCTCGGGAAAGGGCTGGGCTGGGGTTTGGGAATTCCTTGGGATCGAGGAGAATTCCTTGAATTCCCATTTTTCCTGGGACAATGGGAGCTCCTGGCGTTCCCAAAAGTCCAAAAATCCTGGAATTGTGGGGTTGGGAATGGCTGGGGTGGGATTTTGGGATCTTCCCATTCCAGGGTTTTCTGGGAATTCCATCCCAAAATCCCATAAATCCATTCCCAACCCCCTCTCTCCTGGAAAAATCCCTGGAAATACCCCTGGAAAAAATCCTGGAAAACCCCTGGAAAACCTCTGGGAAAAAAACCTGGAAAAAACCTGAAAAAGCTCTGGAAACTCCCTGGAAATCCTGGAAAAAAACATGGAAAATAAAAGATGGAAAACCCCTGAAAAAAATCTGGAAAAACCCTAAAAATCCTGGGGAAAAATCTGGGAAAAAAAACCTGAAAACCCTTGGAAAAATCCAGAAAAACCTCTGGGAAAACCTGGAAAACCACTGGAAAAAATCCTGGAAAACCTCTGGAAAAACCCTGAAAAAAATCTGGAAAAAGCTCTGGGAAAACCCTGAAAACTCTGGGGGAAAAACTGGAAAAAATCTGGGAAAAATCCTGGAAAACCTCTGGAAAAACCCTGAAAACTCTGGGGGGGAAACCCTGAAAAAATCCTGGAAAACCTCTGGAAAAACCCTGAAAACTCTGGGGGAAAAAAACCTGGAAAAAATCCTGGAAAACCTCTGGGAAAATCCTGAAAAAATCTGGGGGAAAAAACTGGAAAAAATCTGGAAAAAAATCTGGAAAACCTCTGGGAAAACCCTGGAAAAATCCTGGAAAACCTCTGGAAAAATCCTGAAAATTTGGAAAACCTCTGGGAAAATCCTGAAAAAATCTGGGGGAAAAAACTGGAAAAAATCTGGAAAACCTCTGGAAAAACCCTGAAAACTCTGGGAAAAAAACCTGAAAAAAATCAGGAAAAAGCTCTGGAAAAACCCTGAAAACTCTGGGGAAAAACCTGGGGAAAATCTGGAAAAAATCCTGGAAAACCTCTGGAAAAACCCTGAAAAATCTGAGGGGAAAACCCTGAAAAAAATCTGGAAAAAAACCTGGAAAAAATCTGGAAAAAAAACTGGAAAACCTCTGGAAAAAAACCGTGAAAACTCTGGGGGAAAACCCTGAAAAAAATCTGGAAAAAGTCCTGGAAAAAGCTCTGGAAAAACCCTGAAAACTCTGGGGGGGAAACCCTGAAAAAATCCTGGAAAACCTCTGGAAAAAACCGTGAAAACTCTGGGGGAAAACCCTGAAAAAAATCTGGAAAAACCTCTGGAAAAACCCTGAAAACTCTGGGGGAAAAAAATCTGGAAAAAAATCCTGGGAAACCTCTGGAAAAACCCTGAAAACTCTGGGGGAAAACCCTGGAAAAAACTGGGAAAAATCCTGGAAAAGGTCTGGAAAAACCCTGTAAACTCTGGGGAAAAACATGGAAAAAATCTGGAAAAAGCTCTGGAAAAACCCTGAAAACTCTGGGGGAAAACCCTGGAAAAAACTGGGAAAAATCCTGGAAAAGGTCTGGAAAAACCCTGTAAACTCTGGGGAAAAACATGGAAAAAATCTGGAAAAAGCTCTGGAAAAACCCTGAAAACTCTGGGGGAAAAAAACCTGGAAAAAATCCTGGAAAACCTCTGGGAAAATCCTGAAAAAATCTGGGGGAAAAAACTGGAAAAAATCTGGAAAAAAATCTGGAAAACCTCTGGGAAAACCCTGGAAAAATCCTGGAAAACCTCTGGAAAAATCCTGAAAATTCTGGGGAAAAAACCTGGAAAAAATCTGGAAAAAATCCTGGAAAACCTCTGGGAAAATCCTGAAAACTCTGGGGAAAAAAATCTGGAAAAAATCTGGAAAACCTCTGGAAAAACCCTGAAAACTGGGGGGGGAAAAACTGAAAAAAATCTTGAAAAAATCCTGGAAGAAAACCTGGGAAATCTCTGAAAAAACCCTGAAAATCTGCGGAAAAAACCTGGAAAAATTCCTGGGAAAGCTCTGGAAAAACCCTGAAAAATCTGGAAAAAATCCTGGAAAACCTCTGGAAATAATCCTGAAAATTCTGGGGGAAAAACCTGGAAAAAATCTGGAAAAAATCCTGGAAAACCTCTGGAAATAATCCTGAAAATTCTGGGGGAAAAACCTGGAAAAAATCCTGGAAAAAAACCTGGAAAAAACTGTGAAAACTCTGGGGGAAAAACCCTGAAAAAAATCTGGAAAAACCTCTGGAAAAACCCTGAAAACTCTGGGGAAAAAAACTGGAGAAAATCTGGAAAAAATCCTGGAAAAACTCTGGAAAAACCCTGAAAACTGGGGGGAAAAACCTGGAAAAAATCTGGAAAAAATCCTGGAAAACCTCTGGAAAAACCCTGAAAACTCTGGGGGAAAAAAACCTGGAAAAAATCCTGGAAAACCTCTGGGAAAATCCTGAAAATTCTGGGAAAAAATCTGGAAAAAATCCTGGGAAACCTCTGGAAAAACCCTGAAAAAATCTGGAAAAAATCCTGGGAAATCTCTGGAAAAACCCTGAAAACTCTGGGGGAAAACCCTGAAAAAAACTGGGAAAAATCCTGGAAAAGGTCTGGAAAAACCCTGTAAACTCTGGGGAAAAACATGGAAAAAATCTGGAAAACCTCTGGAAAACCCTGGAAAAATCCTGGAAAACCTCTGGAAAAATCCTGAAAATTCTGGGGAAAAAACCTGGAAAAAATCTGGAAAAAATCCTGGAAAACCTCTGGAAAAAACCGTGAAAACTCTGGGGGAAAACCCTGAAAAAAATCTGGAAAAACCTCTGGAAAAACCCTGAAAACTCTGGGGGAAAAAAATCTGGAAAAAAATCCTGGGAAACCTCTGGAAAAACCCTGAAAACTCTGGGGGAAAACCCTGGAAAAAACTGGGAAAAATCCTGGATGGAAAAACCCTGAAAAATCTGAGGGGAAAACCCTGAAAAAAATCTGGAAAAAGTCCTGGAAAAAGCTCTGGAAAAACCCTGAAAACTCTGGGGGGGAAACCCTGAAAAAATCCTGGAAAACCTCTGGAAAAATCCTGAAAATTCTGGGGAAAAAACCTGGAAAAAATCTGGAAAAAATCCTGGAAAAACCTCTGGAAAAACCCTGAAAACTGGGGGGAAAAAACTGGAAAAAATCTGGAAAACCTCTGGGAAAACCCTGGAAAAAATCCTGGAAAACCTCTGGAAAAATCCTGAAAATTCTGGGGGAAAAACCTGGAAAAAATCTGGAAAAAATCCTGGAAAAAGCTCTGGAATTCCCCAAATTTTCCCGCCCATTCCCAATCCCGGCTCCCTCCTCCCTGGGAAAATTTGGGAAATCCCCTCTGGATTTTGGGGATCTGGGATTTTGGGATCCTGGAGCTGATCCCCTCTGGATTTTGGGATTTGGGATCCTGGAGCTGATCCCCTCTGGATTTTGGGATCCCGGTGCTGATCCCTGGATTTTGGGATCCCAGAGCTGATCCCCTCTGGATTTTGGGATCTGGGATTTTGGGGATCCTGGAGCTGATCCCCTCTGGATTTTGGGATCTGGGATTTTGGGGATCCTGGAGCTGATCCCCTCTGGATTCTGGGATTTGGGATCCTGGAGCTGATCCCCTCTGGATTTTGGGATCTGGGATTTTGGGGATCCTGGAGCTGATCCCCTCTGGATTTTGGCATTTTGGGATCCTGAAGCTGATCCCCTCTGGATTTTGGGATTTGGGGATCCTGAAGCTGATCCCCTCTGGATTTTGGGATTTGAGGATCCTGGAGCTGATCCCCTCTGGATTTTGGGATTTGGGATCCTGGAGCTGATCCCCTCTGGATTTTGGGATCTGGGATTTGGGGATCCCGGAGCTGATCCCCTCTGGATTTTGGGATCTGGGATTTGGGGATCCTGGAGCTGATCCCATCTGGATTTTGGGATTTGGGATTTTGGGGTCCCGGTGCTGATCCCTGGATTTTGGAATCCTAGAGCTTATCCCCCTTGGATTTTGAGATTTGGGGATCCTGGTGCTGATCCCCTCTGGATTTTGGGATCCCGGAGCTGATCTCTGGATTTTGGGATTTGGGGGATCCCAGAGCTGATCTCTGGATTTTGGGATTTGGGGGATCCCGGAGCTGATCTCTGGATTTTGGGATTGGGGGATCCCGGATCTCATCTCTGGATTTTGGGATTTGGGGGATCCCAGAGCTGATCCCTGTGCCAATCCCCTCTGGATTTTGGAATCCGGGATTTTGGGATCCCGGTGCCGATCCTGGAGCTGATCCCGGTGCTGATCTCTGTATTTTGGGATCCGGGATCTGGGGGATCCCAGAGATGATCCTCTCTGGATTTTGGGATTTGGGGGATCCTGGAGCTGATCCCGGTGCTGATCTCTGTATTTTGGGATCCGGGATCTGGGGGATCCCAGAGATGATCCTCTCTGGATTTTGGGATTTGGGAATCCCGGTGCTGATCCCCTCTGGATTTTGGGATCTGTGTTTGGGGGATCTTGGTGCTGATCCTGGAGCTGATCCCTTCTGGATTTTGGGATTTGGGGATTCCGGTGCCAATCCCACTGCTGATCTCCTCTGGATTTTGGGATTTGGGGGATCCTGGTGCCGATCCCGGAGCTGATCCCGGAGCTCACCTCTGGATTTGGGATTTGGGGGATCCCAGAGCTGATCCCGGAGCTGATCTGGATTTTGGGATTTGGGGGATCCCGGTGCCGATCCCCTCTGGATTTTGGGATTTGGGGATCCCGGTGCTGATCTCCTCTGGATTTTGGGATTTGGGGATCCCAGAGCTGATCCCCTCTGGATTTTGGGATTTGGGAATCCCGGTGCTGATCCCCTCTGGATTTTGGGATCTGTGTTTGGGGGATCTTGGTGCTGATCCTGGAGCTGATCCCTTCTGGATTTTGGGATTTGGGGATTCCGGTGCCAATCCCACTGCTGATCTCCTCTGGATTTTGGGATTTGGGGGATCCTGGTGCCGATCCCGGAGCCGATCCCGGAGCTCACCTCTGGATTTGGGATTTGGGGGATCCCGGTGCCGATCCCGGAGCTGATCCCGATGTTTTTCCCGGTGTTTTCCCGGTGTTTTTTGGCTCTCAGCCCGCTGATGCTGAACGACGGCGGCTCCGCACATTCCATGCCCAAGTACAGCCGGCAGTTCTCCCTGGAGCACCACGGGAACGCCGCCTACCCCGTGAGCAGCATCCCGAAATCCCGGGATTTATTGGGATTGATTGGGAATGGGATTGATTGGGAATGGGATTTATTGGGATTGATGGGATTGATTGAGATTGGGGAATTGGGATTGATTGGGAATTGGATTTATTGGGATTGATGGGATTGATTGGGAATGGCATTGATTGGGAGTGATGGGATTGATTGGGAATGGCATTGATTGGGAGTGATGGGATTGATTGGGAATGGCATTGATTGGGAGTGATGGGATTGATTGGGAATGGCATTGATTGGGAGTGATGGGATTGATTGGGAATGGCATTGATTGGGAGTGATGGGATTGATTGGGAATGGCATTGATTGGGAGTGATGGGATTGATTGGGAATGGCATTGATTGGGAGTGATGGGATTGATTGGGAATGGCATTGATTGGGAGTGATGGGATTGATTGGGAATGGGATTGATTGGGAATTGCCTGGAGCCCCACGGGAACGCCGCCTGCCCCGTGAGCAGCATCCCGAAAAATCCCCGGATTTATTGGGATTGGGATTGATTGGGATTAATGGGATTGATTGGGAATGGCATTGATTGGGATTGATGGGATTGATTGGGAATGGCATTGATTGGGATTGATGGGATTGGGGAATTGGGATTGATGGGATTGATTGGGATTGATGGGATTCATTTGGATTCATTGGGATTTATTGGGATTGATTGGGAATGGGATTGATTGGGATTGATGGGATTGATTGGGA